CATGACAAACACGTGACTATGCACATATGTAATAGGATGCTGATAAACAGTTGCCACTCTTGAAATGCTACATATGAAGACATGTCATTGCTTGATACACAAAATACACATTATAAAACAATGCATTATTTGGTTACTTCCTGATCGAACGTTTGTCGAATCAGTAAGTAGAGATGAACCCAAGCTAAAGGAAGAAGCATCAAGCAATGACAGGTATAGGAATGGTACAATATTACTGTGTAGTAGCTAATGTAAAGGGTCACCACTCATCTGTATAAGACAATGTATAAGGGTGCACTCTCAAACTCTCAAATTTTATTTGAAAGAACGGGGCTACGTGTACACATGCAAAGGGATGTATGATGTATAGTACAACTATTCAGGAGCCCATGAAAAAGGTTGGGCTCCTGATTTATTACTTAGCTGGTATCCATAATGATAGGACAATCCAATTGGTTTTCTTGGACGTTTACTGAGATTGACTGACACAAATTGCACATGGGAGGATGCCACATGGATAAGGGAGCTGTCTGCTGGTTTCTCTGATGAATTTGATGCCGTCCTCAGCTCTCAAATTGCTTCGCAGTCTGGCTCCTGTACAGTACCTTTAAATCATTGCAAGTGATCATGACTGGCCATCCCAGTTAGCAGGGCAGATTATATTAGTCTCTCCTAATCAAAAGAAAAGGAATACAAGTTAACATGATCTTACGATAACATTAGGACAAACAACTTGTAAATTTAAAATTGAATTTTATTTTAAAATTGAATATTTAAAAGTAAATTTGAATCTTAAAATTCACAAGACACACAAAAAGCAAGTTCTAAACCAATCTTAATTAGGGAACAAGTGTGTATACAGATAGTCAAAAGCAAAAGTAAATGCATCATTACGTGAAGTGACATATGCACAGACATAACACAATATTAATCATGCAAAGGGAGGCATAGGGTGGGATATTATAGTCTTGTTGTTTGTTGTTATGACATAACAAGATTATAGTACATGTAATGAACCTACCATTTCCAAAATAAGACTCCAACCAGAGGACACAGAATCAGTTCAGGAGCCAAATGAAGCTAGTAGAGCACATCATGTTCCAGACAGCATGTCTCACCTAATGAAAACAAAGGAACATGAAATATTAACAAGTAGGAGAAAGAGAAAAACTGACTTCTTTGTAGTATTGTATGGACTGGAGATTGACATGGAGTTGAGCCATGTGATTTCCGTATTTTGTTAGAATCCTCACTCTCAGCACCTCTGGCTAGCTTCTTTTGTTGCTCCCCATC